CCGGAGAGGAGGACGCGAGAGGTGGTTGTGTAAAGGGGAGATGGAGGAGTGTCTAGAGTTGGGATTTGGGCTGAGGGGTTTGTTTGGGCTGTTCCTTGGCCGCGAGATGCGAAGTACAAGGCGCATGCGATGGAGATGTCCATTTCAGTATTGTGGGGTCTCATTAGGCGTTTGACTTGGTCTCTGTGTGTGAGGGTTTCGGTGTAGGGGATGTCGATGGCGATAAAGCGCCATGTGCGGCCTGGACATGTTGCCTGGAGCTCGATGTGCGCGGACCGGCCGGTTATCCGGTCTGGACAGTTTTCGTATATTGAGAGGGGTGGTGTTGAGGAGGGGGATTTTTGCTGGTTGGCTTTCGCGGCTGCTGCCACTCTCGGATTTTCGAATGCTACGTTGAGGAGGTCGATTGGTTCGTCGAGGGGGAGGATATCATGAGAGAGTCTGGCGAGAAGTGTGCAGTCTAAACCGCCGGAGAAGAGAACGGCTATTTTGGCGGTCTCGCCTGCAATGTAACCTGGAGGCTCGGGCACGTTCTGAATTCTCAATTCGAGTGATTGATGCAGTTTTGACTCCAGCTCCTTGACGAATACCGAGTCTGTTGTCAATGCAGGAGGCTGCTCTGTGGGTAATGTTGTATTCATTGGTGGAATTGATTTTCTCTTCGGTCTTTTGTCAGTTGCTGCTCTTGGGGGAAGATATGAATCTTAGAACATACAATGTGATCAGCTGGCGGCGAAGCAGCAGAGCTCCATGGCAAGACCTTGATTTGGCACAACTCTCTGGGAGATAAAGAAGGACCTTGATAGCGAGCCAGGTCAATCGTACAAACACCCTCGGTGCCTACTTCTTTAAAGCAATCCGCCGAGGCGCTGTCGCAAATACTGCAAATTTTCAAATTGCCATTTTCATCGAATCCCTCGAGGAGAGACCGCCTCCCAAGGCAATCCCTGCTGTAGAAGAGTCTTGAAGTGACCGCATCATAGAAGACAAAGGCAAATGGCCCAGATAGACTTGCAATAGCTTCAGCCATTCTTTCAACAGAATCATTCTTATCACCGTTCACCGCCTGTAGAAATAAGTTGAAAACGCGTTCGGTATCATTACCTTGCACGCGCTCCCCAGCGATCTTCCAGGCTTCTCCGTTCCAGCAGAGCACAGACTGAGTTCTGGGGTCTACAAGTGGCTGTGTGTACACATGGTCACCTCTCAATGACAGCACCGTGGATGTGAAGGTGAGATAATAGGAAAGGGGTGGAGACACGCCATCCTGTGCGTGAATATCTTTTTGCGCCGTATGAGTTTTGTAGCTGTCTGGTCCTCGCTTTTGGAGTAGAGTGCAGGTCTCCTGTGTTAATGGTGTGGGCTTTGAAGAGCTCAAGGAAAAGAAAATCCCACACATGGCGGAGGAACAGGGTGGGAGTGTTGTGTATTCTGGGATGGTTAGCTTGATAGCTTTTTTTGGATATATTGATGCCTGAGGCAATAATGCATTAGTCATGTTTATAGATCCACCTGTGACTTGTCCAGGTGGGCATCCATGAGGTCACCTTCTCCAGCAGATGCATTCACATGGATTGCAAGATGTTGAAATTTTGATGGTTTCTTGCTAGGTAGAATTTGTCTCTTCATACTGAGTTTGACTTTGAAATTAGTGAAAGGTGAAGGGTATCATGTGAGTACCTATGAAGGTACACAGGTTGGGCATTGTTAGAACTACATGCAGGTAGTAGATAGGTCTCTGTTGCTAATTGACATATTCCTAATGCTGGATTAATTGATATTTTTGTTTGTTGATCTAGTATTCTCGAATGGAAGAAAGAAACCACCTAGGCACTCATTCCTCCATACGTCAATGTAGCCTCCAGGGCTGAATCGAGAAGCGGACTACCTCGGTTGAATGATGATCCGCATATCAACAAGAGAGAGCCGCATGAGCATACTCGGAGCCTTTATGACCCCCCTGAATCTATTCTTTTTGCCCGGGCGCATATGATTAATATAGCTTATGTCTACCACAGAATCCCCGTCCTCTCCGGGTCCCGAGACGAGAGACGTCCCGCATATCCATGAACACACTGAGACGCCGGCCGCCCCAACCGATCTCCTAGCTCAAACACAGGACGATCTTGCGAAACCAGACAGCAGTCAAACAATCCAAATGAGTGCGCAAGACACAACAGAGCCACACGCTGTGGCCGCTATCTCCGACCCCGCCGCGATGGACTTGACGACAGCTGTCCAACCACCACAGGCTGAGCAACAACAACTTGCGGGGCAGATGGAAGGACTGTCGGTCTCTGGAAATACAACACCCAACCTGTCATCCAGCACAAATACTCCTCCACCCCCTCCGCCACAGAAGGACGATGTCTACCTTAATCTCAACGCAACCTCCAGCACTACGGCGCCAACACTCCCACCTATCGATACAAGCCGGACCCCCAGCCCCGAGAAAGAGCTCCCGGATGTGCCTAGTGATGGTGACCTGGACTCTAAACGAGGTGGTCAGGTCGAAGGGCCTAGGGACGATAATGGCTCCCAGGCGGAGATTCAAAATATTATGGGACAATTCCAGGACCCCGCGCGAAGCTCCGACCAAAAAGAGATCATGTCTCCACGGCTCGAGCTTGCTGATAAGTTCCGAGGCGCCCCAACTTATTTCCCGCCACGCAAATCCAGTTTGGACCATGCGACTTCCACCGAGTCCGTGGGTTCCCCGGTCGCTACATCCCCGGAGAAGCAGCCTGTATCCCAACATCCTCACAAGTCCGAATCGCCGGCAGAAAACCGACGAGCTTCCACCTCAACAGTCCTACCACTGCCGGAACCAGAGTCTGACCAACCATTTGATTTCCACCGCTTCTTAGAACAGCTGCGTCACCGCACCGCCGACCCCGTAGCCAAGTTTTTGCGGTCGTTCCTCATGGAGTTTGGCAAGAAGCAATGGATGGTCCATGAGCAAGTCAAGATCATCAGCGATTTCCTGACGTTTATCACAAATAAGATGGCCATGTGCGAGATCTGGCGAGATGTATCGGATAGCGAATTCGATAATGCCAAGGAAGGCATGGAGAAACTTGTTATGAATCGTCTGTATTCACAAACTTTTGCCCCAGCCATTCCAGCTCCGCCAACGATACCCAGAAGTGCAAGTCGGAGTCGGCGGAGAGAGCTAGAAAGACTTCATGGACCGTGGCGACGTGGCCAGCATCAGGAGGACATTGAGCGAGACGATATCCTGGCCCAGAAGATTCGCATTTACAGCTGGGTCAACGAAGCGCATCTAGACATCCCAACTGTGAGCGGCGGTGGACGCCGTTTCTTGAATCTGGCACAGCAAGGTACGTATTATGGGCTGTTTTGGGGAGTTTTTCAACTTTCTGACTTTGCTTGACAGAAATATCAAAAATCAATGGCTACCGGGCTCCTCGGGACAAGGTCATTTGCATTTTGAACTGCTGCAAAGTCATCTTTGGTCTGTTAAAGAATTCCAAAAAAGCCGACACATCCGCCGACTCTTTTATCCCCCTCCTGATCTATGTGGTTTTGCATGCGAACCCTGACCATCTTGTTTCTAACATTCAATACATTCTTCGATTCCGCAATCAGGATAAACTTGGCGGTGAAGCAGGTTATTACATCTCATCGTTGGTATGTTTGGCTTCTATACTACCGTAGAATATCAAAGACTGACCTCTTTTAGTCTGGAGCCATCCAATTCATCGAGAGCCTCGACCGCACAAGTCTAACCGTCAGCGACGAGGACTTCGAACGCAACGTCGAAGCCGCCGTTTCCGCAATTGCAGAACAGAACCGCGAAACCGAAACCTTTGAAGAAAAACCCTCCACCCAACCCCCTACATCTCAGCCCCAGGCCGGACCAAGCCGCAGGGAAACTACCCAATCCAGCGACGACGAAACCTCTGCCCCAGTCGCAGGACTACTACGCACAATTCAAAAACCCCTCTCCACCATTGGTCGCATCTTCTCCGACGACCCAGATACAAGTTCTGTTGCTTCTCAAGAACGCCCCCAGCCTGTCCCCACGCCCCAACCTGGCGTTGCTCCGCCCCGTCTCACCCCGAACGTCTACCAGCCCCCTCGCGCAAGCAGCGAGGACAGCCGTCGCTCAGGCGATGAGCGTGCCCACTCTGCCCGTGGTAGCGGAACCTCCGCCAAGAAAAATTTAACCCGCGTGCTCGACGCCCAGGATGCCGCCGCACGTCAGGCTAGCGCTGAAGACGCGGAGGCGCGCCGTATCCAACGTGCTGAACATAATAATGTTGTTGAGACACTTTCGAACATGTTTCCCAACCTAGATCGTGAGCTTATTGATGACGTCGTTAAGATGAAAGAGGGGAGGTGAGTACTTTCTATCCTTGTCAGATTTTGAATGTTCTATTGAGTATCGACTAACTGTTCCTCGCAGGGTTGGTCTCGCTGTTGATGCTTGTCTTGCTCTCAGTGCAGAGTAGTATATAGAATAATGTAGCATCTTTGCTTGTTCGGGAATATCATGTCAGGAACAGTCCTAGCGGCAACGCTGTCTCTCTCTCGTCTTTGACTTGAAAGTAAATAAATCTCAGAGGCGAATTTGTCTATAAAAAAAAGATAACTTATAACCTCCTTCGCCCCTTCGCCTGGGAGAGGGTAGGGTATAGCGTATATAGCTTCGGTGGATATCCGATCTATCTGTGTTAAATTACACCACGTCGCGTCCAAACCAACCGGAACATTGATTATTGCAGCTGCAAGGCTCAAATATCCCATTCAATTGAATTTACATATTTATATGCACCCAAGTGTAATCTGTTATGCAAAGGATGGTCGGCAGTTGAATAAAGGGGAATGCCTTCAGCCCCAAAGATCCTCGGCTCATTTCCCCCGCAAAACCGCGGTCTCTCGGAATTTTGCTGACTTCATTCTCCTTTACGTCTTATAATAATTCCGAACTGAAATAAATGCAATCTCTTCTCCCTCAAACGGCAACATTGCACACCATGTCGTCCCCTTTCCGCGTCGTTGAGCATGTCGTGCCCACTCAGCACATCAGAGAGTATCCCGGAGCCACGGCCAACGACCAAGAAGAGCCCTTACATCTGGCCGTGAAACAATATATTCCACTGGACAATCCCAACCCGCAACCAGGCGACATTACTATTCTTGCTGCCCACGCGAATGGCTTCCCCAAGGTATGAGATACAAAGTGCCGAGGTCCAGAGCCGCCGGACCCGCTTTCACAGCTGCGCACGCATTGCGACGGCCGTCGAAGCATAGAATCAGCAATATACTGATCGTTCCTCGCAGGAACTATATGAACCACTTTGGGAGGAAATCCACGCTCGATCTAAACAGAATGGGATGCGCATTCGCAGTATCTGGATGGCCGACGTGGCGCACGAAGGCCAAAGCAGCGTGATCAATGAAGATTCCCTCGGAAATGACCGTATGTAACATGAATGCCTTGTATGAAGCAAGCTGATGCTAAATTTATTACAGCTAGCTGGTTCGACCACCCCCGAGATCTTCTCCACTTAGTCAACGTCAAGCGGGCTGAAATGCCCCGGCCTATCGTTGGCATAGGGCATAGCATGGGAGGCGCGCATCTGTAAGATTCAACAACCAGAACATCCACGCGGCAAGCTGGCTAATATCCCCCGCTAGCACCCAACTGTGTCTAATGCACCCCCGACTCATTCACACACTAGTCCTCCTAGACCCAGTGATCCAACGCCAAACAACCCAACTAGACGGCCTCAGCCTCCAGATTAACAAGCGTACGATCGCCAAAACAACCCAACTATCAACCCACCGGCGCGATATATGGCCATCCCGCCAAGCCGCCGCAGAAGGCTTCCAGCGGAGCCCCTTCTACCAAGCCTGGGATCCACGAGTGCTATCCCGCTGGATCGATCACGGTCTACGCGACCTCCCAACAGCCATCCACCCACTAGACCCCAAGACCCCGATAGACAAAACCGTCGGGCCCCCAGTAACACTCCGGACCCCACTGCACCAAGAAGTGTTCACCTTCTCGCGACCAAACTACACGAATATTCCGAACAGCACCAAGCCCGTCAACCGCGTAACACACCCAGACCTAGACGCAACCCACCCACACATCTACCCCTTCTACCGCCCAGAACCAGCTAGGATCTTCTCCCAGCTCCCATTCCTGCGTCCTAGCGTACTGTACATCTTCGCCGGAAAGTCGGACATGTGTCTCCCAGCCATGCGCGCCGATAAGCTTGCCAACACCGGCACCGGGGTGGGCGGCAGTGGTGGCGTTGCTGCGGGTCGTGTGCGTGATGTCTTCCTCGAGGACTTTGGTCATCTTCTTGCTCAGGAGGCTGTGAATGAGTGCGCTGATGCCGCGGTTTGTTGGCTTGCGCCGGAGATCCGTCGTTGGCGCGCCGAGGAGGAGTGTTTCCGCGCGGCTTGGAGTCAGAAGTCCAAGATTGAGAAGGTTACTGTTGATGCAGAATGGTTGAAGAATGTTCCCGCGCCGGCGCGAAAGCCGAAGAAGGCGGCGCAGAATGGGGAGTCGAAGCTGTAAGCGAGTGTTTTGTATAGCTGTTTGGTTCTGTGCCTGCTTCGTTCGTAGCGTCGGATGTGAGTATAGACCATGCGTAGTCTGCTTTTGCGGATTATCCTAGCACATGAGAATATAGAATATTTAAGGCTGCATCGTCTGAATGTTTTTCTATTACTTTCAGATCATATGAATGAGTACGCCGAATCAACGGTCATAATAGTTCACAAGCCTGACACCCATCTATAGCAACGGCCCCCCGCACCCCCAGGTAAAAAGAAAGAGAAACAAAAGGTATCGTATATCTATGGGCCAAGGCCAACAGATCCGTCTCCGGGACGAATTGTGTTCGTAGAAGCTGTGTAAAAGTAAAAACAAGAGGGAATCAAAAACAGTGCTCTGCTCCGAGTTTCACGGCAAAGGACAGACAAGAAGGAGCGTGGTATCTATTTCGTGTGATGTTGGGGAAGGGGTCACATTTGCAAGAGTGTGGTATATTGCCACCCATAAACAATGGGTGCGAGTAATGTACCAACTGGGAGAGAGAGAATGTCTAGACGGCTGTTTCACGTTGACTTCTTGGCTCGGGATACCCCGTTCTCGGGTGATCCACCCGAAGTGCGGATCACTTCGGGGATCTGCCAGAAGTGTGCCCAGCGCAGGTGATATTCTTCTTGTCGGTTATTGAGGCAGTGGCGGAGCCAGATTCCCCATGTGATATAGAGATAAGCACCGATGCCAGTCATGATGTGCCTGCAAGGAAGCATGAATTAGTAAACAATCCAATAGTAATCCATAAGCTCCAAGTTGAACACATACCACCAGCCATGCCCTTCCAAAAAGAGACCCCATGGAAGACCAACGGTGCGGCGCATCCGACGGATCTCAGAGCAGAACACGTTATCCAATCCCCAGATGAAGAAACCTCCCAAAAACATGCTTAGGCCATATGCCACCATGAACCACATGGTCTTGAGGGTCTTCACGTCGCGCACGTTCTCGTAGTGCTGGCGCTCCTTTGTCGGAACGGGGAGTCCTTTCTTCTGGCGCGCTAGGCGGTCCTCCTCCGTCGAGTGGCGCCATTTGGGTCGGAGGGTCACTTCCATGGTGTGCATGCTGCGCAAGACGACAACAGTGGTCAGGAGTGCGTAGGCGTTTTGGTGAAAGACTGGGTCTTGGAGGTAGTGGTAGTACAGGGTGATGAATACAGCGAGACCCGTGAGCGAAACTCCGAGGCAGACTCGTACGGTGGTGTTGCGGGAGTACGAGAATGAGGCATAGGCCATAAGACAGGTGGTATAGATCATTGAGAGTTCGTCCACTAGTTGCATGGGATCTATTGTGGGGGTTGATCGGTCAGCATTGCTTTTTCGATCACTTATATACCGTTTTAGGTGTTATTGGTGAATGTCCGCCGCAGTTTAACCAGATTTTGGGCTTGGGAGGGGTATAGGGACTTGCATTTGAGGGTCGAGTGGAATAGGAAGCTTCCTGTTCCGACTACTAGGTAGCCAATGAGGGCGACGGTGAAGATTTGGTCATGTCCATTGCGACGGCAGCTCCGTATGCCCTGAACTCCAAGCCACATGAACAGCAAATTCGTGAGTGTGTTGACGATCTCCGCGGAGTACTCAGTGGCATAATAGTCCTGGGCAAAGGGAAATATTAGCGTAGTTCTTGTTTCTGTAGGATTCACATCTGATCTGCGGGGATACACACCTCTTCGCACCAGTTCAAGGTGGAAGTAACAGGCTCCCAGTATCCGTCCCTTGCGGGCGGATACGGAAAGAAGGGCAAAGACCAAGGCATTCTGCTGTACACCAAGGTGAAGAGAGATGTTAACTCCGTAATCTCTGTAATCTCTTCTACAAGATGTTTCTAAATCCCAAGAGAAAAGGAAAAAGAGAAACAAAAACAAAAATACCACCCAGTGACATGACGTCGATTACCCACGGGGCTGGTTGGTCCGTGCACTCCCGCGAGATGCCGGATGCAGTTTGTTTCTTCTCTCTTCAGGGCTATTTATTGATTTCGGTATCTATTTATATTATATGTGCATATTTCCGCTTCTTGCATTTGATCTACAAAGCAACATGCATATCCCTGGACTGCAAATAGTCTACATAGTACAGAGTACACGGCCTCAAGCTCAAAGAGCCGCATGAGGGATGTTATGTCAGACGATAGATACACTATGTAGTTGACTTTGGAATACTATTAGTTATTTTAGCTATGAGCTATTAGTATTAATAGCAAGCTTCTACTCTGCTACTCCGTAGATATTGTAGTTATTGTACAACGGTTGTATAAGCCAACATTGAATGGAAAACCAAGCGGTGTGGCTTATCGATAGCCATTGCTGACGATGACTTCACTGTTTTTCATCTTTTCCTCTACCTCGGCAGACTCAGCACTTGCAATTGCTCTCTATCTTATTCAATTCTATTTACCTTCATTTATTCCCTGGTGGAATGCAAGCTGGTGTCTATATTTGGTGGTGACCGTCTTCGTGGAATTTTCCCTTTTTTTTTTTACGTTTCCGGTGGATCTTGACGCCTTCTTATTTGTTACGCATACGCGACACCCATGGACCTCGAGCTGGCATTGAATCTTTGATCTTCAAACTAAATATATTCACTGTCGCTGACGTCGCGGTTCGAGTTGCCTCAGAAATGTCAAACAATAGCACATTGACGGTGCCGCAGGTGAAAACGAGCACCTCAACAAGTATGCTTTCTGTCCATGCCCCAATCATTTCCATTCCACTGCTAATCATCTTCTTATTGCTCTAGCCTCAAAAACACCCTTCCACTTTGCTGCTGGTCTTTGCTCTGGCCTTACCTCCTCCATCCTTCTCCAACCCGCGGACCTCCTCAAAACTCGAGTCCAACAGTCCCAGGGAGCAGCCCTCCTTCCAACTCTGAAGGCGATCATCTCCTCTCCGAATCCAATCCGTGGACTATGGCGGGGCACACTCCCTTCAGCCCTCCGAACCGGCTTCGGGTCGGCACTATACTTCACCAGTCTCAACGCCTTGCGCCAAGCCGTTGCGCAATCCAATCCAATGGCCCTAGCCAGCCCGGTAATAGGCGCTAGATCATCCTCCGTCCTCCCCAAACTCTCCAACACAGCCAATCTCGCCACAGGAGCCGTCGCAAGAGTTGCCGCAGGCTTCGTAATGATGCCAGTGACCGTGATCAAGGTCCGTTATGAGTCAGATTTCTACGCATATCGCAGCTTAGTAGGTGCAGGCCGGGATATCGTCCGCACCGAAGGGCTGCGTGGGCTCTTCGCAGGATTCGGCGCTACTGCCGCTCGCGATGCCCCCTATGCGGGTCTCTATGTTCTCTTCTACGAGCAATTGAAGCGACGGTTCGCCTTGATGGCCGCAGAACCCTCTAATAATGGCGAGACGACAACTGCTGTTTCATCCTCGTCAATACACTTCGTCTCCGGTGGAGCGGCCGCCGGAATGGCAACTGCAATCACCAATCCCTTTGACGCCGTCAAGACTCGGTTGCAGCTGATGCCTGCCAAATACGGGAACATGGTGCATGCTACGCGCTTGATGATCCACGAGGATGGCATGCGCAGTCTCTTTGGTGGACTTGGTATCCGCATGGCTCGCAAGGCCATTAGCTCCGCGCTGGCATGGACTGTCTATGAGGAGCTCATTCTGCGCGCTGAGAGGCGGTGGGAGACGAATTCCCAGATAGGTCTTTAGGTTTGCATTCTACCTGCCCTTGCCTATCACTCTCCCTCACATCATACCCATTCCACTTTCTGTATTATAGTCCGTTCAGGCCCCGCTCTAGCTCGCATCTTGGTCCGTGCCCAGACATGCATGTCTACATTGAGATTGGCACAATGGGAGGTCTTTTTTACGCAGGGCTGAAGCCTGACATGTATATTGTACTACATCTGCACATATCGCCTATCATATAATTCTCCGTTCTCAGAATTTCCAGTTATACTAGGAGTATCCCCAATCTAGCCATACCAAGCACCTATACCCGCAAGATGTTCGCCAAACCTGTAGATTGGACAGGAGACGGCGGACTGGATATATAAGGCAGGTACAACGAGAGAGAAGATAGAGTTGGAATAGAAAAAAGGTCATCAGCTCATATCGCGTTACTGTACTACCACATACTCTGTGATATATAAAAAAACAAAAACAAATCTCAACACAACACAACATAGCACAATTTCAACAAGAAACGGTCCAATCCGACTGGGTCTCATAAAGCAACACAGTAACAACGTTCAAACAAGCATCAATCATAATCAACGCGGCGTAGAATAGAAGACATTTATCCGAAGATGCGCACCCGGCCTGAAGGGCTCTTCTTCCGAACCATGTATAGTCTGTCCTTTTTGCGGTCGTTAACTTTCAGTTCGGTCGTCGAGTGAGAGGTCTGGGCGAGGACCTTGCCCTCGCGTATACGTCGGGTGTGGGCGAAGAGAATTTCTTGGAAGTCATCGTCAATCCACTGTTTGATGATGATGTAGTTGGGGTCGTGCTATGAAGAGATATTAGTTTTCATTGTATACACACAAGGTATGAGTCTTACCTCGTCCCAGTCCCAAGGCAGACCGTAAGCCATCAAGCTATCTGGCAGCAAGTGCTTGCGATGGACCTGGCATAGTGTCAGTCAAACTTCTAGTACATAGAGAGGATGTGGTAACTCCATACCTTAATCCATGTGAGCTTGGTCTCTTCCTTCTTCTTCTCATCCTTCTTCTCGTCTTTCTTCTCATCCTTTTTGTCTTCCTTCTTCTTCTCATCTTTCTTCTTTTCCTCCTTTTTCTTATTGATGATACCGTCAATCTCCTCCTCAGAATAGCCAATGTTGCGAAGGTGATCGCGGAACTCCTTCGCCTTCCGGATTGCCTCCTCCGCCTGTCTCTGCTTGATCCGCTCCTGTTCAAGCTTCCACTCCTCAACAGCAGCAGCCTTCATAGCGAGCTCCTTCTTCCTCTTCTCCTCGGCCTCCCTCGCCTTCCGCATATCCTCGTCTCGAATCTGCTGAACGAGCTTTTCATGCTCCTCCTCTTCTTCCTTCTGACGGGCAAGCTCTTTCCACTTTTCCTCTCGCACAAGCTTCTCCCTCTCCTCTTCCTCCTCCTTCATCCTTGCAAGCTCCTTCCACTTTTCCTCCCGTACGAGCTTCTCCCTCTTCCCCTTCTCATCCTGCATGCGTGCAATCTCCTTCAACCTCTCCTCCTGGAGTTTATGTCTAACCTCCTCCTCCTCAGCAGCAGCCCTCTTCTCCGCCGCCATCCTCTTGAGCTGATAGCGCTCCTCAGCCTTGCGTTCCTCCTCCGCAGAATGCTGCTTGTGCTCCAACCGCTGTAGCTTACGCAGCCGCTCGGCAATCTCTTCCTCGTACTCTAGCTCCTCTTTGAGCAGTCGAGCATCGTGCGGATTGGGTTGCGGGTTCACAATAATTTTCTCGCGCTCTTTGTCGCTGCGGCCATGAGACTTCTGCAGCTCCCGCTGCAGCCGTTCGATCTCCTGCTGATGCTTCCAGAGATCCATGTCCTGCCGGAGATCATTGCGCTCCAGCAGATGCTGACCCATGTCCTGCCGGATGTCGTTGCGCTCCAGCATGTGTTGGCTCATGGCTAGCTCGTGGTCACGATGGAAGGGGGATGCATCGCGCGAGACGCTGCTGGCGGCGCGCACACGGCGGCGTGGGGCGACCGGCGCTTGCAGAATTTCGTCAAATTCATCCTCGAAGCGGTTGTGCCTGTGGTTATGGGTGTTGGTGTTCTTTTCGCTGAACTGGTTCTGCACTCGTCGAGACTGAGGCTTGTTCTCCGAGCGACTCTCTGACTGCAGCCCTTGCTCATTGAAAATCATTACCGCTGGTGGTGGAGGTGCTAGTGGTGGGCCGCGCTCGCGGCGTCGACCGCCGCCTGTCGAGGCCGACCGGTGCACGCGGGTTTGAGTTGGCGCTAGGTACTCGCGAGAGATGACTTCCGGGCGACGGTGGCGAGAGACAGAGCGCTCGCGGATATGGGTTCTAAGACCTGTTCGCCGTGTGGAGACGTCGGTCTCGAACTCCGAGTCAGGCGAGGAGTAGTCGTCATCGTCAAACATTGCTCGTACAGGCATCTTGGCGGGGTTGCGAAAAGTATGGGGGGTATTGATAATATAGATTGGGGGGGGGGGGGGTCCCTGATACAGGGGCCTGTGCGGGGGGTTATCAGGTGCAGGTCAGGTGCAGGTGGCAGATGATATAGATGTGAACACCAGAAAGTGAGAGAGAAAGGAGAAAGGAACAAAAACAGGGGGCCAAAATAGTCGAAATTTGTATACGAGAAGTGTGCGCTTATACTATCAGCCAAAGCGGGGGAGGGGCTGGGAAGAAAGTGAAAGAGGAAAAGCAGGGAAGTCAGGCTTGGAGTCCCTTTTTATTTATTCAGCTGGGCGTCATGGGCGTCATTTTTAATTACTGCAGTTCAGCCTCATGCTGCATAATCTTGGGATTCGACTCGATAATGTTTTTACCCTTTTATATACTCTGCACTCTCTCTCTTATATTCCATTCCTTCAAGACTTAGTATACGATCTCCATCTTTCCTCTCTACTTCCTACACACACACACTCTCTCTCTCTCCCCTCTCCAACTCCAAGGTTGGGATACAAAGCATCATCAGGGCCCACTTCGAGTCCAGACTCGAATTTAATGCCAACGCCTTTGACAACAGAGCACTCTAATATTAATTCTCCTAAACCGCAAATTAGGCATTCCCGCTGCATAAACCCCCGAAACGTGAAACCATGTCCTTTGTAAACACTACTTAAAATAGTCACGAGCGGGCCCTTTCGCGCTAACCTTCTATGGGACGCTGAGAACGCATCTAAAAGAGATAAGGCGATTACTGAAACCATATTATACGATCAACTCCCCTTTTCTGTGAATAATCTTGTCCCTGTCTTGAACTCGGACTCGAGTTGGGGCTCCTTTAGGCGCTGGTTCTTTTGATCTTCCTACCTGATTCCCCATAACTGGACAACCAACATACTATTCGTTGCGATGACGGATTGGGCACCAACAGTGTTTCATGTTTATCCTTGATCTATATCCATTTCAACACACGGTAGCTCCACGGGTGGGGCTTTTTTATCCATGGATCTTAGTTGCCGCTTTTGGGGGGGAGGAATGAGGGGCAGGCTTGTATATTTCAGTCCGGGCGGCTCAGTATCATCACGTGCTACAACTATGTATCACTCGAAGTCTTGATTTAATAAATGACGTGCAATATATTCGATTGATCTGAGTACCTGGAAGATCTACAGGCTTCACGGCTCGCACACGTTGGCCGACTGCACGTTGCAAGTAGGATTGAATAGTAGAATGAGCGGGCTGGTTCAATTTAGCCTTTAGATAGAATGCATTAGGCCAATGAGCCTTAAAATTTTCAATTCGAGGTAGGGTTGGACATCTCCATATTAATACCGTAGGATGAAATGTTTCTCTTGTTCTTGAACTTGTAGCCCGCCACACATGCTGTACCTGACCTTCTTGGTAGCGTTTACAATGTGCCGAGAGGATCACGCAAAGTAAGAGACGCAAAGGTAAGAGTCTCACAGCATCCTATAGGCTTCCTCGATATTTGGCAGCGGCTGCACCAGAGCTGTTATTGGTTAGTTCGTATATATATGCATGGTTTGTTGATCCCTTGGTACAGCCCTGGTGTCGGATTAGGGCTGCTTACATAAGGACAATCGGATGCCAGTGGGGCGTGCTCAATTCTACTTGGTCAAAAAAACAGCGAGAAATGAGCCTAAACGGAAAGTTCTGAACGTGATACTATCCATGGAATATGACGATGAACCTGTGGACGAGGTCGGGTGTGCCTGTGAAATGGCCCACGGGCACCCGACTTCTTCGCCTGACTTTCTTTTTTCTTCTTTCTGCGTCACGTCATGAACACTCATATTCCACCTAGGCACACCTGGACTTCATGCATCTAGTTTCTGAAGACCAAGATCTATGTAATGTTGTACACAGCTGTTTGCGCATCTAAATCCAAAGCGAGTAAACGAAGCATCCTGACTTAACCTTAGAAGTACCAGAGCTGAAAACATGGATACTACTATTCATATACATGACCTACTAGGCATAACCTTTAGATTTGTGCCAGCCTTATACACTAACCTACGAATATAAACGCCCCAGCCCAAGCCACACCTGGAATAAACTATCCGCCTAACGGCTACAGTGGCCAAAAAAAGTATATTGTATATCAGTAGAGGGTACAACATACCCTGTCGATCCCTAATCAAGCCAGGGAACCCCTGTCATTGGGATATCAGCGGAAAACCCGAAGACTGTTATCTTGTTGCCTTATTTATTTTACACAAACATGATTGGACAAATGAGGGGCGGTTACGTAGACCGATGTGCCTTTCTGACACCTTGAAGGTATTGATTTGGACGCCACAAGATCGTAAATGATCCCAACATACTTTCCTGTTACCATTCGCCGAGGAACTGACAAAGACCTCTACATTTCTAGTTGTAATATCGTATATTTCCATGGGAAGTACGATGTACCTATGTCAAGGCTCTCATGTACCACCAGACTAACGCCATTGGCGTCATCTCCGTACTCCGGCTACATCAACGCCCGGTCTCCCCGTGTATATTAAAAATGACGTATATCTTGGCAACAATACCACTCATTTCCTGGAATGAGAACTAACGACACATAATTAGTAGAATAATGCCTAGTTGATAGTCTTGTTTATTGTGGCGACTTCGCGATACCAGCATCAAGGCATAAGCTGACCGCTATATGAACAAGAAAGATACTGTGGTGGCTGAAGTATTAATTAGAATATAACAACTTGAAAAAAAAGCTGCAGCGCCGTGCGGCAGCGCGCGGCACCCATGTTATTATGGGTATAAGGTACTCGTATACACCTCATGGTCTCCCTACAGCATCTCTTCAACCGGCCTCATAAGCCATTCGTCTGGTATAATTTCGTTTGACGTGGCTCTCACTTCCGGTTCCCAAGTCAAGATTTTCCGTTCTTTCTCCTGTCCCGGTGGGATTGTGCTGACAAAGTCCTCGAGAGAGGTTTTTGGTACAGGCAGTTCGGAGATCCCCTGTGATATCTTTCAGTGAGAAATAGGCGTTGACAGGGGAGAAATATAAGACGAGCATGGCTTACCCTCTGCATCAAAGTAGGTTGCGAAAAGGGGGCTCGTCTGAATAATATTTAGTAGAGGGGGGCCAAGATATCCGATATATTGTGCTAAAGCTAATGGAAGTACATATTAGCCATGAACACGGTCAATCGGTTCGAAGAGGTTTTTTCCTTCCAAAAGCTTGAGGGTCTGTATCATAGAACTTCAATTAATGTTTTTGCTTGCATATAACCTACGACTAAGTGCTCAACTCAACTCTCCATTACGCCAATTGACCATATATCAGCTGGGAATCCCCATGGTAGATGTCCAACCGTGCCAAGCCCACCAATACCTACCCAGCATTGTGGGCCTCACAAGATTACAATTTCTTTTTCCAATTAATAATGTATTAAACCACTATTTACAAATAACTACCATGACTATCTTAGATACATACCAATTTCTACCAGGGATGCGCAAGATCCATTGATAGTGGAAGAGAAGTGCCATATATTGCTGGTCTGTTAAGTATCCAGCAGCCTCGACCATGTTAGACAGAAGCAGGCGTGTCAGTCTCCACCAATAATCAGCATCAGGCTCTCGTGAGGGCGAGGTCCATGAAGCCCGAAAGGGACAGCATATTTCCACAATGAATATATTTGGACTACATCCCTTCTAAATAACCTTCATAATTGCTACTTTGCTGATCTCGTCAGTCATTGAATTGGCTTTTGTTTGAATTGAATCATGGCTGAAGTGACAAGACCACCCACCAAGGCATGGGCAACTCTATCTCCATGGCTGCCCTGGCCGCAACGAGGTAGATTGGTGCATCGAAAAGTCACAGCAGCGAACCACCTGGGCAATGTTTCGGGAAATCGGGAATCTAGCCCTCAACTCAGGTATCTATAATCGGGGTTGCTACCTGTAGCCCGTGGACGACTTCGGGTACTAACTTGCATGAATCGTGACTTAGAACTTCTAAATCCGATTAAGTCCGAAGTGAGATGCATTCTAAACTCCGTTAACACCTATTCTTTGCTTGTGATATTTGATATCAGGTATTAACTGACCATCCATTGCCTTCCCATCAACATCGACAAATACATTACAACATTTTTCATCCCTTCAAATACAAACATTCCCACAATGGCCGCCGTCACTAAGCCCTTGGTTCTGATCACCGGTGCAAACCAGGGACTGGGATTCGCGACAGCACAACAGCTTGCCAGCACTAGCCAATATAATCTTCTTATTGCCGCCCGCTCCCAGGAAAAAGCCGAAGGCGCAGTCAAGCAACTAAAAGGGTCTGGCACTAATGGCTCTTTGACGCCTATTGCTATCGATCTTGACCAAGACGAATCCATCACTGCAGCAGCCAAGTTCGTTGAAGAGCGTTTCGGATCGCTGGATATCCTCATCAATAACGCTGGCATCAACAGATCGTCCGACCCAAATGCTACTCTACGCGAGAGCTACCGAGCTGTGTTTGAAACAAATGTTTTCGGCGTGGCAGTGATGACAGCAACTTTCCTACCACTCCTGCGCGCATCGAAGTACCATGACCGACGTATTGTCAACGTGACGAGCGGCCTGGGCCAAATTGGCATCGCGTACTCGCCAACTTCAGAGTATAGTGCTAAGATGTGGGAGCTGCCCGTCTACCGCAGTAGCAAGTCTGCGATCAATATGATTAGTGCTGTTGATGCTGTTAGTCTCGAGAAGGAGAACATTCTCGCTGTTCTAGCTGCCCCAGGCTTCTGTCGTACCAACTTTGGAGGTGGTCAGGGCGTCAAATCAGCAGAGGAGGGGGCTCGGCCCATTGTGCGGGCTGCTACAGAGGGTTCGCCAAAAGAACTATTTGGAAAGCTTGTGGACGACGAGAACACGCTGGTCGAGTTCGGCTGGTAGATTAAGTAAAGTTGGCCTTCGCATTTAAGGACCCTTGCATCGTTGATAATGTCAGCTGCAACACGATAAGCTACTGCTGGCCCCACAATGTGCCTTTTGAGGTGCAACTAGTACAACAAACATATAACATTTGGGGTGTCTACGTATTTCTCTTGATAGCCCTCGCTAGATGGCCGAAGATCAATCAATTCGTAAAATCCGATTCAGGCAATGACGATGAATTCACAGAAGATAGAGAGGGTATATGCAAAGAGATTATCATGGCACACTCTTTTCCTCGCTTGGTTCATCCAAGAAAGATATTTTTGTAAACAATAACTCCTGGGTATCTAAGTCACCAGCCTGCAACCCAAGTATGTATAGTCGCCAGAATGTAGCCATGCCAGCCGGGCATAGAAGGGATGTGTATATCTCCTGCATCTTCTCAGACATAGTGTATTATATTCACTCGTCAGCCTTGAGATGACGATATCTTCAACCCATCCACCTGTGTCGCAGGTCCACCCGGAAGGAAAAGACAGAGCAGAATCAGCCTTGTCTTTCCTTCCCATTAAGATTCGCATTTGTGAGAACTGCTGAACCTTTGGTATAAAGATACAACAATCAAGGATACCCGCCACATGGGAGCGCATCGTGTTCGCGTCTTGCTCTCGTCTCATATTCCTATTTCAACATTTTGTTCACGACCTCCCACCAGACTTGAGAATCTGCTCAAGGTTCTCTCGACTCTTTTGGTTTGTCGTCTCGTGATATTGCAGCTTTTTCTCGAGGTTGGAGATCTCCGCGGTGGCCTCACCGCTCTCGCGCGTAAGGCGCTTGTTGACTGTGTCAACGGGAACGTTGACGAACCTGGAACAGGGTGGTAAGTCAGTCTCAGTTTCATGAAAAATGGGCCCAATGAGAAATTTCCCCGATTGTCTCACTGTTTCGGAGCCGCAAAATTGAGAACAGGAGAAATGAAATGAGATAACTAAGAAACAAAAAGACTAGACAGGAAGAGAAAAAAGAAAATGCTCACATTTTTCCGACGCCCTCGTAAACTTTCGTCTCAGAAGGCAACTCAGACAACTCCTTCGATGTAAGCTGCAGCATGCGGATATCGCGCTGCTTGGCTGTCATATGAGCCTTGGTGATACTGATCTGCTGCTGCGAGGCTATCGCACGGGTCTCAATCTCCTGGAGGAGCTGTAGTGGATAAAACCATTAGCATTTGCACACCTTTATTGAAAATGACATCCCGAATCAGAAACCAGAGAGAGACAAGAGGGCTGAGTGAGACCGAATTGACTTGGCACACCACTTCCCCTGGTCATCTGCTCGCAGTATCCGACCCAAAGATGTAAATCTATCCAGTATGAGACATACCTTTTGAAGAGCTTCGTTGGGAATCGACATCTTGGCTGTGGATGTTGTCTTCGGAGCTTGAATGTGGTTGAGGGGTAGGAGGGGTGCGGAGGAACGGGCGGAAGTGAAATTGTTTTGTTGTCGTGGACTCCGGTTTAGTTATTTGTTTTTCTTCCTGGAGTAAATCTGTATTGACCAATTTGGGGTTTATTGAAGCTGTCTCGCACGGGTGTCTCTGTGCAATGTCTTGATCAACAGAATTAATTCGACTTGCTCGGCGAGGCCTTTGGGGTCAGGGCGGTGGGCAGGCGGGGCGGTGGAGTATTGCCTGACTTAGGGCTCGGGGTACAGGAGAGGTATACGGGGTATGTGTCTAGTCCCAGAGAAAAGGCATGGAGTTTGTGTTGGGGAACGCAGGTGCATGTATTTGTCTCTGCTCTGTGTCTCTTTTATTGAGAGGATCTAACCAGATTGGATCAAGATTGACATCAGCCATTCACACCGTATGTACTTTTGTCTAGGAAGGGCGAGCTTAACAGGCGCTCACTGCTGTCCAGGGCTCCTTGAGAAAGAAAAGAAAATAATAAACAGATATTGCAGTGTTTAAAGTCATTTGGTAGAGGAATATATAGGTACTCTCTAGCAGAGAGGGCATAAACCCGTACAAATTTTGTGGGTATCAGCCTTATACAACAGATGTCTTGGGCTTGAATGGCTTCACCCAAAGTAGACAATCCCAACTCAAGCCTTCATGCGTAAAGTCATCCAATATTTATTTTATAAATGGGTAGACAAGTTCAGAAAATATGGCTAACCCACAAAAATGTTGGAAAGAACAGGGCCATATTGCCCTATTGGGGGCCATCTAGGATATGGAAAGCGCGCGCGAATCTCTTAAGTAGCGATGTGATAGAGTGTGATAGAAAATAATAATAATAGAAGAGTATTTGACGTAATACCACGATATCCGAGGTTTTGTTGGGAGGGGTGTCACTGCCGTTTACAGCATAGAGTAGGCGCTGATGATTGAGATTGAGAAGGTCCGTGTGTATGCTAAGCTTGAGATTGGTGATAATACCCGGGGAAATACCACCCTTTACCTGGTAATATTTAATGGGGGTTGAGATACGGAGTAGGGAAAATTGGAATGGATATTTGAGTAGGTAAAATCAACGCGCATTAAAAAGATCACAATCCCCTCCAGTGCATAATTCCTTCGGCGTGAAAATGACAGAAATCTAAAGACCCTAAGTACCGAATGGATTTCCAGGCAGGTCCGAAAATCAAATGAAAATAAGACAAAAACCAGATTTGACTGGTCTGACAGTATGAAAAGTAAAAGACCGGACCAAGGAGATCATTCCTGGACGCCATACGCCCCAAGCCTGAACTCCGTTTCCCACTGAGCTTTTCCTTTTGGAAAGCCCATCGGCGTGGCCAACTTCTTGCTCACGTTCTCATTCAGGAGTACAGCATCAAGAATTTGGTCAGCCCAGATTTTCAATAACACAGTAGACTTATGAAAGGCCCTTCAGATAGCCATGGGCATTGTTTGATTCTCTGCCAACGCTTAGTAGCCGTTGGGGTTGGGCTCAGGGGAGCACCACAACTCGAACTCAGCACCAGTAGAATCAGCCATACTTTCATGGCGAGGCATATCCCATGAGGAATCCCGACCCTCGAGGCTCTGCATGCTGGGGAGGTAGGCAGAGGTCATGCTAGGGTGAGCATATGAAACGGTGCTGGGAGACATGGATGGCCCCGATGAGGCTACGTAAAATCCCGGTTGAGTCTCGTCGGCCCAAGTAGAGTATGAGCCAGGAGTGATGGAATAGGAAGGACCGGCCATGCCAACTCCAGCAGACTCGCCGCCGTTGCTAAGAAGTCTGGGATCCATGTCGTGCATGGGGAGACCGTGCGATGGGTGGGTAAGCTGAGGCTGAAGCAGCTCGTGGTGGGCAGCACCAGGGAGTCCAGCGAGGGAAGAGCCATATCCCATATCATGCTGGTTTGGGCTGGTGGAGCGGTAGAGGTCTGCACCGTAGGATTCGGAGCTCTGGAGAGAGCTGGGTTGTATCACTGGGAGACCACTGGGGTGGCTTGTGTTTTGCCAGGAGGAGTGAATATATCCGGGTGTCATCATGGAGTCAGGTCCAAATGGCGAGGAATCCCGACTACTGTCGTAGTAGGGCTCTTCGAAGCTTTGGGATCGCGAGTGGGCGTAGGAAGACCCACGGTATGTAGTCGATCCAAGATCACTTTCCATGTCAGAAAAGCCCCCTTCATCGCCGGTAGGTCCTGGTGTAAAGACAGGAGAACCGCTATCGCGTCGGCTGGTAGTGGTTGCGTTTTTGTTGGGCGAGAACTTGTAGTCTGGGTGTGTAGCGGCATGGTTGTCACGTTCGAGCTTCGCCAGATCTTCGTATTTTCGGCGAATCTCAATGGGCTCTAGCTTCCAGCCCTGGCCCGCGACCTTTGAGACAATTTGATGGTTGTTCGCGCCAACTAGTTTCTTGGTGCGCTCTGCGTATGCAGACCGGTAAAGCATGAAGGAATTCATGGGTCGAGAGATCTTCCCATTCTTCTTGCGGACCTCGTCCTGTCTCTCAAGAGCAGATCGAGCCACCCAGGCGTCCATGTCTTTGATAGGAGTAGTGTGAAAAGATTCGGTAAGTTGACTGATTGGTCCATCGAGCTTGATACCTGGATCGGAGAGTTCTCTCCGGGCACGATTGCGTCGCTGTTTAGTTGCCCTGGCTGGTGCTTTGCCACGATTATGCGGGGACTGTGACCAAGGTGGGGAAGGTGTCATCATGGTAGGTGAGCCCATTGGGATAAGATCCTCATCAGATCCCGGAGGAGGTGTGGTGACCCGGGGACCGGACATCATGATCTGATTTAAGTATCCTGGTCAGTTTTACACGCGGGTCAATGGCCAGCATGGGAGTCAAACTTACTGATTGAGGAGGCATGTTCTGAGAAAAGCCGGGGGCGTTGTAGAATGGAGGAGAACCGTAGTGCTGAGATGGTTAGCATTGTTATCTTACCAGGCAACCGCCAGAAGATAAGAGACTCACCATTTCTTGCTGGCGAGTGCTGATTTCCTCATCAGACATTGCCATGTTATCGTACGCAGGTCGATACACTCCAGGGCCTCCGAACTCTTCGGGCAAGGGATGTCCGTCTGTAGACTGGGGAGGTGTAGGAGGAATGGGTGTTGCCACAAAAGTCATTGTTATGATCTTTCAGGTCCTGGGAGACAGGATCAAAAGATATGGTGATACTGGTTCAATCGCCAGGAAACTTGTCCAGCGATAGCAAAGAAGAGAAAGAGAATTTCCAGAAAGAGGAAAGAAGTGGAAGAGCGGTAGAATAAAGATATTCTCTGTCGTCCTACACAGATGGTGGGTTTGTCTTGCAGTTGAGCTCCCCTGAAAGAGAGGTCTCAAACACGGCTGCAGATGAATCTGCCAGGTGAGACAAACACTGCAACAATCCAATTGGATGAAGTGTGAATGTATGAATACAATTATGAAAGTAACTAAGTATGAAGATATGGAGATATGGAGATCAAGTGGATAAGTGGATTCCAGTTCAAAGGATTTGAGAGACAAAAAAGCCAAAGACTTAAAGAATTGAAGATTGAAAGATGGGCG